GCACATAATTAGATATGTGTGAGTCAGTGAATCTCGCTTGTCGAGCATCGTGTGAGTATGCGGGATTTGGTTGAGCTGGTGGACTGCAACAACGAGTCCAAGAAAGATGAGAAGAAGTGAAGAGGTGTGTGTGGGGGGGGAGGGTTGGAATGGGGACGAGGAGTTGAAGTAACAAGATGGACAACCTAGGAGACGGGTGGATGAGGTCATTAGACAGGTCATCATGATTCTCTTGAATGACGTGTTTGCCTGGGTCTGTGAGTGAGTGAGTGACAACTTTTGGTAGCTGGCACATGAATGAAATAGTGAGGACAGCGGAGGTGTGAGGTAGACGGAACAAATGATGCAGTAGCAACTGTCTGCTGCAGACCATTTGTCTCAGTGATGAACGGAACAGTAGGAATTGCCTCGAGAAAACCTTTTGAGCATCATGGCAGAGAGATATTTGTATGCCTTGTTTGTGCCAAAAACAGTGTCGATACTCAGTTCAAACGAGATGTTGAAAAAGTCTGCACCTATTGTTGTGAGATACTACTCATTTGTGAGTAGCACGCAAAAAGATACGATCGGCGGTTTCTTTCAACGACCAAAAATGAACAAGACCTGTTGGAGCAAACTGCTGCTATTCGGTATGGTAAATACTGAAATGCGCGTCTGATAGTGGACCGTTCCAGTCAACTATCCTGTGAGGATGCGTACATTCTGCTAACGTGTTCCAAATGAAATGTTTCGTTGTATGAATGACAATTTAACCATATTCTGACCGCTTTTGGAAACAGACGACCGTCCTCGATCGAGCACTGGCTTGAAGAATCTAAATATTAGTAGCAAAAAAAATATTCGGAAGTTGAAGAGGAAGCGTCGTCAACAAACCTCCACGACCACCATGTTCAATACACAATTCACATTGTCAGAAACGTAGGGATCGTTTGAAACCGATATCCTTCTCCAAAATCAGTTACAATCGTGGTTATATAAACACGTTATCGAGCCACAACACTGATTTCCATTATACTTCGAAATGGTCTTGAATCAGTGAATCAATATTATTCAAATCGCAAGTGATCTATCGTTTCGCTTATCAGGCTGCTAGACGGACACTTTGGGTTCGATCCCATACGAGTTATGCTTGAGTGAAATAACAGCGGGACAGCTATCCAAAACAAATGGCAAACCTTGTAGTTGCACGTAAGCTAACACACAATGCTATCATGTACTCCGTATTCTGTTCACCAGGACTAGCATACACGGTCGCCAAGCCAAACAGTCTAATATTGGACTACGGACGATGGCTATCTGCATAAATAATTTGTCTCTGAGGCTTCATTCCATAACCCTTTTTTGAGGACATGATTAACTTCGTTGTCTAATACGAGCCAAGTCATTTGGTCTTCACGGTTCACCGATACCGTTCCATTTCTCCTGTCAGGGGCCATATCACACAAAGCGTGAACACCCCCCCCTCCCCCCCCACACACATTGGAAGAAGCAAACCCATCCGACCATCCGTGTAGAACGGTGATGATCCTATCGGTCTCTGGGGTTCACTGTCACCTGACTGGCTTCGGTCTTTGGAAACGTCCCTCCAACTCGTCGTCGTCGTCGTCGTCGTCGTCGCCCTCCTCATCCTCCTCCTCCTGAGTGCGCGGGATCGTATTCGAACAACTGTCCTGTTGCTTATACCGCTCTTCCTCCTCTCCCTCATCCAACACACGGGGCGACACAGAGCCAAACTGCGCCACGGTGTTTATCTTACCCTCGGATTCGCTTTTTGGGGCAGGCGGAAAAGCCAATTTTATAGCCATGGTGAATATGGCCACGTGAATAGG